TTTTTTAGTCATTAGTCATTTAGTTTCTTTTCATCTCCAATTTTGAGAAAAGGTGTCCTTTTCTTATTTAGGATTATATATGATTAGTAGAAATTATTTAAATTAAGATTAGCAACATACATTTTTTTATTTATATATAAGAAATCATGTCTTTTATGGGTTATTTTTTATTCTTTTAATTTTGTTATGATCTTTCAAAAGTAAAAGAATAAGTTCTTTTCCATTATTATTATGATATGGGACACATAATAATGCTATTCATGATGAGCTCAAAACAATAAACTAACAAATACATCTATAATAAAATATAAATGGCGATGTTATTGAATACTCAAAACAAGAAAGGTGTCCACACTTGTATATTATTCTAACTTGCATTTAATATTAAACAATATAAATATTTAGTAGAATGCTTTGGTTTAAAATTAATTCATAAAATTAATATGAATATTTTTTTTGCTTGCATTTTTAATCAGGATTTTAAATAGTTTAAGAATAGTGGATGCTTGATTTCCTAAGTTTCACTCTCCTCAATAAATTCACATTAAAAATAATGTTATGTTACCCCCACCTATTATTTTTTTTTAAATAATTAATATGTTATAAGAGAATGTTAGAGATATATAAAGTCTAATAATTTTATCATCAATGAATAATGTAAAGCAATTCAACTATAATTGATGCACCAACTACATGGTGGCCTTTGGGGAGGACTATAGGCTATATCCTCTATTGTGGTGGTGATTTAAGCATGGATAGAGAAATGCACAAACATATCACCTTATTGGTTGATCCAATTAGAAGTAACTTATGGTGGGTCATCTATAAACTGTGGCCTAGCTAAAATGGTGGGTCATCTATCAACTATCATGAAAACTAACATCTTGTCATATATTCTTAGAGTCGTTAAGGTGGTGTTACAAGAGAAAATAAAAATTGAATCAAATCATGATAAACTTAATAAAGTGATCAAGACAACAAAAAAGGAAAGAAGAAATCTTCTTTGAAGATAATTTTAATCAAGGAAAGTGTAAAAATAAAGGAAAGTGAGCAACACAGCTCACCTAGGCCTGTTGGTTGAGAGCTTATGCTTCCAACTAAGAGGTCTTGGGTTCGAGTCATTGTGTATGCATTGTGTGTGTGAGTTTGCCTTAAAAGGAAAGTGAGCAAATATCTAAAAAAATAGAACAAGGTCCTCACCAATAAAGTATTCAAAATTTTGTGGGCTTTGAAAAAGCCTCATGAGTTCCCATATTAGAATAAAGGTTAGTGAAAATAAAGACTAACATACTTTAAGACAAGTTTGTGTGAGTCATTGAAAGATAGATTAGAATATATATCCTAAATATTTTCATGTTATTAATTACATTATATGTGTGATGTTTGAGAATACTCTCGATTGGATTGTTAACTTGTGCTTCTAATTCAACATAAAATGAAGTTCTATTTTGTAATCATAGAAAAAGAGTCTTTGGCTTGAGAATGATTAATCAAACAAAATAGCCCCTTAGTAGAGTATAATAGCACAATAAACAATAATACCAATATAATGATATAGATTAGTATCTTATGTTAAAAAATATAGGTGATAGTAAATCAAATTGACTGAGGATAAAATGGGATGCATGAAGTTTCATCAAAGTCTTGTTATCTACGAAGGGGCTAGGAAAAGGAGATGAAGAAGAGGATGCTGAAGGTGCAGGTCTTTTAATCTAGAAGAAGAATTACCCAAAAGAGAGGGAATAATCCTATAAAATCACATAGGTTGGATTGAAGGAATTAAACCACAAAAAGATTATTTACACTTTTTCCAACAATTAAAGTGAAAGAAGTCCAAATTGGGCTCACTGTACCTCAAGAGGACATGTGGACTGAAATAGATAATGAAATGGGACTTGCACTAATATCTACAATAAGTATCATACTATGTCTAATAGTGATGATATGTAAAATTATTTTTTCATCATCCTAGAGGATGCTCATGGTAACACTTATGTTCCAACCAAAGTGATCAATAAAAATGATGATATGTTTTACATCCTTTAGAAAGGATATGCTTTAAATATCCTCTAATTTTGCTTACACAATTTTCAAATCCATATTATTAAGTATCAAAGCAATAAGAGATGGGTTAAAGATTAGCAATAGAAGATCATTTATAACTTTTCCATATAGACATGACAAACTAATATGCAAATGAGAGTTCACATAAAAATAATTAATGCATTGTTATCTAGATAAACTTACATACAATATGATTATACATTAAAAACTATTTATAAACTACTAATGTTGTAATAAAACAAAAAATATCATAGAACCTCACCCTCAAGCTTCTAACTTATCACTTAAAAGGAACTTTACCATAAATATATTGCATCTTATCAGCCGTTGTATACAATATTTATTAGATAAATGAATGTGTAAGTGCATATCATATCCAAAAAAAATATGCAAGAAATGAAACAAAGAAATATAAATAAAAATTTATCGATTTGATAAATCTACGTATGGCATTAAAATGGTACCAAGGGAAAGAGGTCTACCTAACTAATCTAATTCATGTGTGAGGTAAATGTTTGGATAAGGAATTATTAGATTCCACAGAGTAATTAGATGGTATTGGACAACAAATTGTCCAACATGTATGTGTGAGATCTTATATGGATACAACATTTTTATTGCTCGAGAACCAAAGTGTACGTTGGCGTTAATTGTGAGCATAGACAGTATATCCGGTAGATGACATCAATGAAAATTTCAAGTGGAACACAATTCAGGTTGATTTGTTAGCAAGCATTTTGGATTATGTCAATTAATTTTTTAGTTGCAAAACAACAATGAAAATAATGTGTGGCAATTGATGGGTGATGGTTCTATAACTTCGTAGATTTATATAATAAAGCCCTTCCTTTGAATGGGATATAGAAGGGTACCCTAAAAGATTACTTGGGTTTGGACAATCCTCCAAGCATAAGATGACTAGAGGAGGGAGATTGAGTGAAGGACTTGACTATGGCACAAAAATAGTAAGAAAAGACACTCTTTAAAGAGGGGGTGGGTTGTTTATACTTGCGTTAATTTGAGGACAGGGCTAAAGCATTGTTCCTAGTGCTCCTTGAGCATTATCAATAAGGGCCAACTTCACAAGAGCTAAAAGAGATGAAGGAACACAAGGGAAACATAAAATAATGTAGGGAGAGAAGATCTCAAGGCTTCCATGGGTAGAGATAGAAAAAATTGGGAGTTAGAGGCCAAAAGAACTAAAAAAATGACTAAGAGATATCTCTATAGCAAAACTAACAGAAAAGGTTCTTTTACCCTTTTTAAAAGGCTTCAGAAATAAAGAATCGCTCGACCTAAAAAAAATGGCATATTGAGATGAGTCACTTCAAGGGGCAACATCTTAGGAAGGATATAATTTCAAATTAGGGCCTATTAGATAATATTTTCTTGGTGCGTACATTATTTTATTATCATTTTAATTATTTTTTAAAGGATAAAATCAAAAATAAGAAATGATCCCAATCATCACCTTAGAAAATGGATGCAATTTTTTATTGAGAACTAAATCTTTGTAAAAAAATTATGTTCTCAGGCTTTTTAATTCGTACCAACATTTATCACCTTCACCTTTACATTCATAACCTGCACAATTCACCCCTTAAAAATTTACAAAATTTCACCTTTCTTCAGTTGAATCAAATTTTTCAAAGCCTTCTTTAATTTAAAATTTTGTAATTAAATACCTTCACACCTCTTGCATGGGTGTGCACAAGAGCCACTACTACAAAGGAGTCCACTAAATTTAGGGGTTGCTAAAAAAACAGTATAAATGAAATACATTGTAAAAAGAATATTTTAGAGTTATTTGAATGAGTGTAAAAAAAATTCAAATGAATGATTTTTTTAATTTGATTTGAAGCAAAATGAATATAGTGTAAACTTTAATGATGTCGGGCGGCAACGGGTGACGAGCGTTGGGTGGTGGTGGTGGTGGTCGGTGGGGTGGTAGCAATGGTGGCTGATGGCAAGTGGCCGACGGCTAGCGGTGGTGGTGGAAGCCAGAGGGTGATGGTGGTGGCCGGCGGTGATTACTAACGGTTGGCGGCTGCGATGGCTGTTGGTGGTGATCAGGGGATGGTGGTGGCAGAAGAAGGGTGGTTGCGGTGGCCACTGGCAGGTGACGGTGGTGGCAGTTCCGATCAGTGGTAGTCAAATGAATTTACTTGCAATGTAAACCGTTATCGCTCAAAACTAGACGAGTTTGATTTACCTTAAAAATGAACTAGAATAATTTTCACAACATTTACTTCACTTCGTATTCTTTTTTCATCTAACCAAATATCAAACTTTTCAAAACCATTACATTCATTTTTATTTTCACATATTTTATTTCTAACCAAAAAACCCCTTAAGAACTGATGCAGAATGTTCAACCATTACATACAATAATAAGCTTTTTTTTCAAAGGACCTTATAAGAGGATATGTCTCTCCATCTTTGCGACTCCATCATAAAACTATTCTTATTATCTAAAGAATCACAATCTCAAATCTTCCTAAAACCCAATTCATGTTCATTGAAAATTTTATAAGCACGTTAAATCTCTCTGTTACAGTACTGTTTATTTGCCTTCTCTTTTAATTTGCTAAATGAATTGCCTCAAGCAATAATGAACTGTCAGATGGCAATGTTTAAGGTAATATTTGAATTTTCAGTCCTGAATCAATCTTAGGCTTCGTTTGCTTTCTTACAGCAATAAGAAAACCGTCACAAACGAAACCTTAACCTATAAGCCCAATGCCGCATTGCACCATTTCAATAAAACTGATTCAATGTAGATAAGAAATGTAGTGACAATAAAAAAAAATAAAATCTTATTTATTATAAAGGATATGAAGATAATAGACTTGTCTCCAATCAAATCATCAAACAACCACATAAGGAAGAAATTACAACTTATTGCACAATGGCACATACAAAAGTAAAACTACCAGTTTTCAACAAAAAAAGAATTAAATTAAATATATAAACAATAACCAATTCATGTTAACAAGTCTGTATTCGAATCAAGACTTTAATGTCAAAATTGTTAGCAATATACAGGACTGCTATCATTTCCTCCTTTGGTCTCTTGTTACAAAAAATTAGTAAAAACAAAAGCAACTTTGACAGATAGAGAGAGAATATCAGAAGGCATTAGAAACTATTGGGGAATATTGCCTCAGAAGTAGGGCAACCCATTGAACTCTCATGTCATTATCAGATTAGAAGAACTCTTCACTAATAGAACCTCTCAAGAAAATTTATGTTGACGGTTCTGAGGGATTATGCGCCTCAATGTCTACATGTCTGATTCCTGGAACAATCCTTTGAATCTCAGTTTCAAGTCTGTCGACTTCACTCCCTAAGGCTTCAACAAGACCCTCACCTGCCATTATTCCGCCGTTTATTAGAACTAATCATCAAGGTTGTGAAAATCGGACTGGACAACGAACCGAAAAAAGGAGAGGTTTACGGTTCGATCGGTCGAACCAGATGACGCAATAAATAATAATCTTATTAAAATTAATAAACTAAAGTATATTGTTTAGAATTTAATTAAAACAAAAATAAATTTTTTATATAAACTAGCTGGTTCTTTCAAACCCGGACTAGTTTTGCGGTTCACCGGTTGAACCGCCGGTTCAATCCGGTCAAATGCAGAGCCGGTTTTGTAAGCTGGATTGGACCGGTCATAAGACCGGTTCACGGTTGAACCGACCGGTTCGGTCTGATTTTCAAAACAGTGCTAATTACATCATGCTTAAGAGAGACCTCTCATGCTTGCAATTTGGATTAACTTTCAAGAAATAATATGAATGGTATGCATACCATAGTTTGCCATAGCTTTAAGCAATTCACAATCATCACCACATTCTGCAGCCTCTCGAAACTATAGGAATTAAGGAATTAAAAAAAAGTTAGTAGCAGTGACATCACTAGCATAAATGTTGCATTATCAATTAGAAAGTTACCGTCAACTAGAAGTTGATGGGCCAATTAATTATAGGTGACAATCTGGTACACCCAAAAAGGGCAAATGTTTGCAGAAATTAAAAAAAAAAAGACAATATAAAAGAGTTCCTCAAACTAAATAATGCACTCATCATTCATGATTTTTGCAATGATGTCAAAGTATCCCACGTATAAGAGATAATAATAGCGTATCCACATCATGGAGTGCTCTTGCTACTGATTCAAATAGATTTCCTGGTTAATTAGGACGTTAGAGTAAATGCTGTTATTTGTCCAAGTTTCGGGCCGTTAGGAACATATTGGTTTGCTAAGTCAATCCCTATATTGGCTTCATAGCTCAACAAGATTGTGGAGAGGTTAAGTCTGGACCAAATTTGAGAAATAAGACAAATTACTTGAGAGTAATTAAGTTCATATTAGGCAAATGAATTTTATGTTCGAACATGTAAGCCCAAAGATTTTAACAATAAATGATACAAATCATATAGTTGACTTTGCGGTAGCAACTTGACCAAAGATATTTTGACCACTAGATTATAGTGAAATCTAACTGTTTTTTTCTTTTTTAGATTCAAGCAAGTAGGGTATAGAACTCAAAAAACATGTAAGAGTAAGATTGTGGAAAAATACATGCTTCTCTAATGTTATTATTAAAAATTATTATATTTAAAGATGTTATTATATCAACATTATTTAATATTTATTAGTAATTATAGTATTTATTATTATAAAATATCTTAGTTATTGAAGATATTTTTTTATTGTATTTTTTTTCTTGCTCTCTTTCTTGTCTTTATATAGACATGCTTGTACTAGCACCATAATCAATGAATTAAAGTGCAGCGCTTCCTCACTATTCTTTTTAAGTGAATTATAGTAATAAAAGTGCGGGAGGAATTGAAAACTAAACCTACATCATCATTTTTCTTTTTAAGTGAATTATAGTAAGGATTTATGTGTTTTTTTTATTTGCTATCTGAAACTGAATGGTGAATCTAGTTGTTGGTTTTTACTAATTTCTAATATATATATTTTAGCTCACATCACACATGTACTATTTTGCTCTTACTATTCTCTATTTTTTTGTTTCAAAGAGCGTGGATTTAGGATTAAACAAACTCGTAATTCGATCATGCCATGGTGAAAGTGAAGCGCAAGCCCCAGAAACGACCTTGGGAGCAATGACAACAGCGAAACTTACACAAAGGGTGGCTTAAAAACAGCGGACGTTTTAGTTGTTCGTGGAATTTTAACTGGAACAAAATGTTGCTTTTGTTGTGCTGATAATGAAACAACTTCCCATCTTTTATGCAATTTTACTTTTAGCATTATCAAGAAATTCCTTCCCTTGGTTGGGTAATCACCGTTTGCGCCCTAATCTTATTCAAGCTCTGGATAGTGTTTTGGATCAAGGGCTCTCAGGTTATCAGATCAGTTATTTCTTATTAACTAGTTGTGCTACTGTGTACTTTATTTGGAGGGCTAAAAATGACAGACTGTTTGGTGGCATTTTTGACTGTCAAGCCACAATCTCCGCTAAGATCAATCAAGCAGTTATCAGGAAAACTGCTAAGTGGAAGCACGTCCAGAACGATTACTAATGGATTCTCTATCTTGTTCGTTGATTGGGTTTTGTATTGCCGGCAATTCTTTTTTGAAGGACAATGATGATCGCTGCCTTTGCAGCAGCCCTTTGGACGGTCTTGTTGGCAACCAAGGGCATGGCTATGGTGCATTCCCTCCGGGTTTTTGACCCTATTCGTGTTCACCATTATGCCTCCTGAGTCCTTATAGTTACTTTAGTGCTCTCTGTTTCTTCTCAATTGTAATTTTTTTTGTGTTTGGCTACTCTTTTTGTTGTTGAGTGCCAAGACTATAGTTTTTTTCTTTACTTGTAATTTTCTTTTTCATCAATGATAACGGGCTTTGCCCCTAAATTTCACAAAAAAAAACTTACACAAAGGGAAGATCATTGTTTCAAAAGCAAATATTCAATCTTGACCTCTCAATCAAGTTTTTCTGACTTGCTAATTTATTTTGTTCTTCATAATATTGCTGGTGAGATGAACAAGTGATTTTGGTCAATTACATACTCTGCAAACATTTTATTTTCCGTAGTTGTATGTGTCTAGGAATATGTACCTAAGTTGAAGTCTACATGAAAATTGGGCATAATAGCTGTTTCTAAAGAACATGCATATTTAAGTTGAATATATGACTCATTCCATTGAAACAGCCAAGATTCCGATCATGCCATTATTTTCATTTATTGCAGTTTATATTTACCTTTTTAGTCTTACCACATTAGGTTATCATTCAAGTTAGGTGTTAATACACCTATTATATAATTTTATATCTATAAATATTGTACAATCTCCTTAGTGTAAAGATTATTTTTTTTTTCTCAATTATAATCTCGAATAACACTGCCGTTGCCAGGTCCCAAGTTCTGGATGAGAAAAGTGGAGGGTTGCGTTAGGTAGTCGACAGTCAGCGTAAAACTTGTCGAACAATAATGACATGACCTTTCTTTATTAGATTTAAACGAGAATTTGACTTTTAATAGGACACAATGAAGAAAAAAGATTCATGTAGCCGACCCCACGTAGTGGGATAAAGGCTTGATGTTGTTGTTGTTGTAATTATAATCTCATATATGGCATTAGAGCCACACATCTCAATTGAGTTTTCTCTATGATGCACCCACACTCCTCCTCAAAGAGGTATGCAATGTCCAACACGTATTAGACGCGCCAAAGACGTTTCCAATTAAAAAATATTAAAAATAAATTGGAAAGGCATGTCTGACACGTGTATTATATATTTTATGAAAATTTTTAAATATAATTTTATGTACTTCAAATTTTATTTATTAAAAATAAAAATTAAATTTATTATTTGCACTCCACAGCCCCAAATAAATCATCTATATGCAATATCTCATTCTCCAAATATTCTCATTTTAATTTCTCAAGCAGGTTACGACTAAGGTTTCACAACAACGTATGATGCCCTCTCTCTAATACCATCATAACAACAATATTTTAAAACCATCTCAACATTGAAATCTGATGTTGTCTTTACATTGGCAATCGATGCTAGCAATTTATACACCCACAATCACAACCTCTCAACATCTCATTTTTGTCTAACATCATCTCAACATCGATGACCAACGTCGTCTTCACATCGAGGGTAGACACTATCTCGACATCGATGTCCAATGTCCATTACACAACATCGATACCTGACTTTAACAGTATTGTCATCTCCGCTCTCGATGTCTGACATAACATCCACGTCCGACTCTCAACAACCTAATATTAATCATTTTAAGTACATATTCTAGTTAAATGGTTTATTATTTCTCAATTATTCTTAATATTTTTGATTATTCAATTTCTATACACTATTTTTAAGATATAAAAATTATCATATTGTATCCGATTGGTATCCTATTTTTTTAATAATTTGACGTGTCTCATATCCATGTGGTGTCATATCCACATCACTGTGTCCATACCTATGCATCATAGGTTTTTCTCTTATTCTTCCACAGCCAGCTCCCCTTCAACCATCTCCTCCAACACAAATGCTTATATTATTCATAACCCATTTGACAGATCTCAATTTCTCATTGCCATTAATACCAAAATGCAAATTAAACTCACTTCATCCAACAACTCATCATGGTAATTTAAATTTCATACTACTCTTATTGGGTATGATCTTCTGGGATTCATCGATGGATCTTATCCATATCCATCACAAACCTTAACCACAAGTGATGAAAATGTTCCAAACCCTGCCTACTCACCATGGATCTAATAGGACCAACTTATTTTTAGTGCCACTGTAGGCTCCATCTCTCCTAAGTTGATTTTCTTGATTGTTTCATCTTATACAATGCAAGAGGCATGGAACACACTTGCAAATACCTTTGCCAAATCATCTCGAGAGCCTCTCACACAACTTAAAAAAGAGCTTTGTGATAGGAAATACTTGAGTTCGCAAGTAACCCTAAGGTAATACTTGAGTTCGCAAGCAATCCTAATCCAAACCAGTGAAAATTTAACAGCGAAACTGCTGTCCACAACAGTTTAACAGCAGGAAACACAGAAAATCTGAGAGAAAACGCAGTATAACTCATAGGGAAACGAAGCAAACACTTTTATTTCAATAGAAGATGAAAAGCACTTGCAAGATACAACTTTCCTTCAATTCGAGAGGAAGGAAAAACTCTCCAACGATCTCCGGCAAAGCCAAGAGCCCAAGAACACCCAACCCTAGATCTCAAAATAATTCAAATTCAAGATGATCCCTAATTCTCTCATAACTCACTAATTAAAGCAAAAGGAAAGATACAAATTACATAAACACCCTCCTCATTCAAAAATTCCCTCCAACGAAATGCTCAAACTCCGCCTAGCCCGCTCTCTTCTTCCGTCGTTTCTGCGATCAGGTTCCGCCCGGCTTTGGACCCACGGGTGTAGAACCGGACCGGTCCAGCTGCGACCGGTCCAAGCGTAACACTTTGCCTTCTTAATAAGGAAATAGAAGCAATCACTGAATACATGCAGTACGTCAAAATTATTGTCGATGAACTGCCTATTGTTGGCCATCCAATTGACGAAGATGATCTCACACAAAAAATTCTAAGGGGTCTTGATGATGAACATAAAAATCTTTGCTATATATGCGTGCGCATGAGACCCCAATCTCCTTTGAAGAGTTACATGAAAACTCATAAACTTTGAATCTCATCTCCCAATTGGAGCACGAAAGAAAATGACTTTCTTAAACATGCCTGCCACAACCTACCATGCTAAAAAATCTAACCACTCAACCAAAAACCTACCCAACCAAAAAAATTGTCCTCCATCCCAAAAACACACCCAAATCTTCACCAGACCAACAAAGTTCAAACCCACCATCATCGTCACTATCTTGGCAAATGCCATTTTTTTCAACAACAAGATCATTCAGCACAACAATGTATCCACTTTACCTATACAACAACTTCCTTAAAATCCAAATCAAATACATCCTCCCCCATCATGATCATGTCGCATATCCTCTAGCATCCTCTAAAACGAAATGGCTCTAATGCTTCTCACCATATCACGAATGATCTCCAAAATCTATCAATGCACTCGGAGAATCCTATTACAGAAAAAAATTATATTGGTGATTGTAAAAGACTTCATATCACTCACACTAGCTAACAACTATATTTTCTTCTTTTCCAAATCATTCCTCTTAAATAATGTTCTTTGTGTTCCCTCTATGAAAAAGAACTTTATTTTTTTTACACAATGTTGCTCAAAAAATAATATCTCTATTGAATTCTCACCACATTATTTTCATGTGAAGGCATTCATTCGGGAAACATACTAGTGCAAGGTGAAACTAAAGACTGTGTTTATGAGTAGCCTCGTTCATCATCCAACAAACAATCAGTGATTGCCTTCTCTGCCACTAAAACCTCCATTCATCAATGGCATCTTCATCATTCGTTCATCAAAATCCTAAGTTACTTAACCTCTTGTTATAAACTATCATTATGTAACTCAAATGTATCATAACTTGTGTGAAATTCATGCTGTTGTAATAAAGCTTACAAGTTATCATTTCATTCATCCTTGTTGACCTCAATAACATATAAAAAAAATGAAAATGAAATAAATGGATACATGAATCCATAAATCTTGCTCAAATCCCGGCTAAAATCCACAAAAATCCGGCTCAAAACCCGCTGAAAAAAC